TAGAATCTTACATCTCTTAGTTTTTGTAACATACAATGAACATGAAGTTTATTTTTTTATATTCTTAGAATAGATTAAGATGTTATTTAGATAATAGCAACAAAATTGTCCAAAATTTCTTGAAAGATATCATTCATTAGATATTGAAAAGGTGTTGGTACATTTATAAGTCTAAAAGCCATGATATTATGTTCAAAATGTATGTACCTAATTCAAAACGTAGTCTTCCATTTATTTCCATCTTTGATACATACCAAATTATATACTCTTTATAGATCTATTTTTATATAGATCTTATTTTAGTTTAATTGATCAAGAAGTCTAAATATCAAAAATAATAGATATTTATCTTTGATAGTAATCATATTGAATCCTTGAGAATTGATAGATATTTGCAATGATCCATTTTTTTTCTTGAGAAATAAAAATGGAGCTCCTGTTAGAGATTTGGAATAGCATATGAAATTTTTGGCCAAATTCTCTTGAATATACTCTTTGAATTTAGCCAATTCATTTTTTGATAAATTATAGATTAGTTCAAATAGCAGTTGAGCTTCTTCTTCAAGATCAATTGAGTAATTATATGAACAAAGTTCTAGAAGAGTATTTGCATTCTTCTTTTCAAACTCATCTTGAAAATCTTGATGTTTGCTAAAAATACCATTTGAAGTCTTTTTATTATTAAAAAAAAGTGTAACATAAATGACATAAGGTGATCTTTCTTTTGTAGCATGCAAGAAAATTTTTGCATCTATAAATATAAGTTTGGTTGTACTAGACTTATGACCTTCTATTTGATTAACTACACTCTTAATTATACTTTCAAAAAAAATTAAGATTACAAAAAATCCAATCTATTCAAGATATGTAATTTTTTAATCACAATAAATCTAAAATGATTAGATTAAAAAGAGGTCTAATAATATTAAATACCAAAAAACTACTGCAGCTATTATTTACTGCTTTTAAAAAAAATAATTTATGAATAACATCTCCAAAAGATAATGAATAATCATCTGACTTTTGCATGAACAAGTTTTTTTATTTCTTTATTAAAGGTATATTATATCTTTTAGGTACAAGCTTTGTGATATTTAAATCCTAAATCAATATCTATTATAAAATAATGAGAGGATTTTGAAAAAAGAATAAAATCTTTATTAGGTGTTGTATGAGATTTCACTCACATAATTCCTATTATAGCTGGATAAATTCATTTTTTGATATGTTGTCTTCTTTGATAGTCCAACTTCTTATTTTATGATTATGTTGCTTCTTTGGACAATGTTAAACAGTGTGCTTTGATTCTCCACAAAATAAACACAATCTTTCTTAATGACAATGAATCTTTTCTTACTCAATAAGAAATTTGAAACATATTGCATCAATTTATATATCCTTTATTTCCGAAGGTATGTATTAAAAAGACATTGGTATTGCCATTGAATTATAATGATGTGGAGGCCTACTTATGCAATTTTTAGATCAAAATTTTAAAAATCAATTATCACACTTTATAGTAAAATCAATTGTTTGACTTAATGTTTCAAAATCAGGTAAATTGAGCATCAATTTCTTTACCTCATATTGTAACATATAAAAAAATTGGCTAATGAGTAGAGCATCATCTTACTTGATATGAATTGCAGGTTGTCAAAATTATGAAGCATATAATGTTATAGATTGATTTCTTCATTGCAAAATATAAATCTTGTTTGTTGCAATACAAACTATATTATGTTCTCCATACATAGATCAAAACTTTCCTAAGAAAGCTTCTAAATAATCCAATATTAGATCATGTTGTTCAAAAAAGATGAAAAGTATGATAATGTAGAATTAAAAAATAGTATTCCAATAAACTTAAATTGTGATCATAGAGTTGAATAGCTTTAGAGTTGAAGTTCAATTGCCAACTATACTTGATTAATGAATCCTTGAAACTTTGATCTTATATCATCAAACTTCTCAAGTAAGACAATTCTTGATTCTCTAGCACTTGAATGGTATTCCACTATAAAAAAATGGACATAATTTAATGTAGATGCTGAAGTAGCTCCAATCATCTCTATATCTCCACTTTCTTGTTCTTCCTTGTGGTGGTAGATTGAATTGATGCATCACAAGCATTAACTCCATCAATTTTTTTGGCATTTGTGCCATTACATTCTTCATTTTGACAAACTTTGTTATAATAATACTTAAAAGATAAAAGATATCTAATATCAATCAAAATAAGTAAAATAAATTAATAAATTAAGAATAAAGAAAATATTAAAAAAAATATTAGTTTAGAAGAGGATAATTTAAAATTTCTAATATGCTTATGTCTTATCAAGAAAAAGAGATAATCCACTCTTAATCAAGAAAAGACAAAGTTCTAATATTATAAGTATATTCTTATCAATCTGTTAAAGACAAGAATTCAATGAAAGCAAATAAACAAGTGAGACTTTCTCAAGGAAGTATGACAAAATAGAAATATGAAAGTATGTATATTAAAAGGAAATTAGAATGGCTATTGCCAAAAGACAAGAAAACTAGAGACTCTTGAAACTAGACTAAAAGCAAAAAAAGAATTGATAAAAGTGAAGAAGGCTTCATTCCTGCCTTTATATATACTATCTACCTAGGAGCTACATGGCAATGTTCTATAGGACCTCCAAAACATGTTGACTTTGTACAACATATATTTTAACTTATAAAACAAGTTTTCTATATAGATGCCACATAATTAGTTTGTTCTGCAAGCTACCAACACAAGTGATATGTGATTAATTTATTGAGCAAGTTTTCAACCTATCAATCAATTACAAACACATGTAAAGTCAAAGCAATGTCTATGAAGCTTCTAAGAAGCTATTCTAAAAGATATTATGAAATTAATCTATTTTTATAAACTTCTACCTATTCATATTATTTAAATAAGAATTATAATAAATATATATTTGTGATACTTAGTCTTCAAACTCTAGATAACATTAATAAAGTCAACTAACAAAAAATACTAAATGGACAAAAAACCAAGATTTATATAAAGATATATAGATAAAAATATATAAAAATATATAAAGATATATTTTTAAATATAAAAATATTTATTTATTTATTTATTATACTTCATATTTATTAATTTTTTTATAAGTTCTTATTAGATTTTATTTTAAAAACATAAAGAAGAAATTATTATTTTTCAATACAATAATTAAATTAGATTAAAAATATATAAATAGATGATATGATGCACTAAATTTGAATATTTATTTTTAAAAAAATTTAAACGCCTAGATATTTTTTTTAGCACTATGCTTACTTGTATCTTTTAAAAAACGTATTTATAAATCTTAGAAAGTAAATTATATGTAATTTACAAGAAGTATATTTGTAAATTTTAGAAATAGTTGAAAGTTAGTAATCTTATATTCATTATTAGAATCAAAACAAATAAAGTAATATATAATTTTTTCTTGCTTAGAGAATCAAGATTTTAATTATTTTAAGCTATGTTTTTAAATTAACAACAAAAAAAAGAGTTTCTTACATTTTTTTTGGCTATATATACATACAAATGGTTGTATTAAAGACATATCATAAGTACCTTATTTTAAATTGCTTTGATATCTATTGTTTTATTACTTAAGTTTAATCTTATTTAAATTGTTTGAAAAAGCACAATCAATAGAATATGATAGTTATACTAGATTGTAGTAGAGAAGTAAGCCAATACATGAAGTCTTGGCCTTGATTTCTTGTACATGTATCTAATTTTTCTAATATTTATTCTCTTTTCTCTCATACTTTGCTATAATCAAAGTTTCTTCTTTTTGAGACAAATCATCTTTATGTATGGTCATCATCCCTAGGCTCATAGACTAATAATGCGAAGATATAAGCCAAATAATTTGAACTTATCAAAAATCTTCAAATGAATGAATGTTCACAAGAAATTTCCTTCCACAATACATCTTTTTATGGATGTGAATTAAGTACTTATTTGGTTTTATCCTTGCTTAGATTCCTTGAATTATTCTATATTAAATTCTATTGTCATCCTTGTTATACAAAATCCACAACAAACTTATTTGCTATTGTAAACTAAAAATTGCAATCTCTTGTGTGTTTTATCCTATCACTACCTTGTCACATAGATAATAACAAAAATCTACTATGTATCCCACATAGTGAACCTTATCAAATGTAGAAGAAAGACACCAACATTCATATTATTTTAGTTTCTCCATTATCCTAATAAACTCAACAATGAAAACTTTTCATATCTCTTGCAAAAAGCAGTTTTTAAAGAAATCCCAACTATCATTACTAGCATATTTATAAGATTTACAATTATAATTCTACCACTCAAACCATTGCCATTTCACCCCCTAATATAAACCAATTCATCTTAAAAAGAAAGATCATTGTATAATAGATACCTAGCTAGTACTTGGTACAAGATGAACAGAACGCCCGAGGGGCTCCTTGCACTGTAACATTTTCATAAATTTCAAACCCTTAATCTAGTCTAATTGCTCAAAAATTTTGTCCGATGGTGTTTTTTCGATTAAAATCCCAAACCCTTATTCCTTAACATCCTCTTAATATGATCTCACAAAATCTGACGTAGCTAGCTTCCCGACATCTATGTATGGAAATAAGCATGGATGACGGACGGAGTAAGTAAATCAGTTCTGCGAAATCGATTTAGAAGGCACTGAAGAAAAGGGAGAACTGAAGCAAGTAACTGAAAACAATGCAACATATTATTAACTTATAAGCACTTTAAATCCAAAATCTTCACCTGAAAGGCCTTGTCCTGCTCCTACAAAACGCCACACCATAGCTTTCTTATTCTTCAGCATGGTTCAGACACACAAAAAAAAAATGGATGTGAAATAAGGGCTACAAAGAAAACATGAAGAAAGCAAATAGAACAGACTCCACGCAATATACAACATGCACCAACATGCAAAGGGGAAGCAGCAATACCAATACCAAGAATCTGAAAAATCGTGTGACCTTGTAGATTAAGATTTCAATGTATCTATACGCTATGTGGCACTTGACGAGTGCATGAAACAATGACATCCCTGTCACAGGGGCTCTGCTAATACTCAGCTTGGCGGCTCATAAACCCTACATTTCTCATTATCGGCACCAAACCTGATGGAGGCAGGCACCGACATTAGACGCCAACTAAGGAATCTGACTATCAATAAATGTGTCTGCCGTAGGCAATTCCCTAACCTGCGTTTACCAAAAGAAAATCGCACTAATCCTACACAGAATACGTCCTCGAATTGCTTCATATGCCACAATTTCTCTCAAAAAGTACGTCGACACAGAGCACAAAGGACGGGAGGAAAACTCTTGCCACTCACACCAGAGCTCGCCATCTGGTACAAGATCAAGGAATTCCTGTAACACTATCTCACAGCCGATCTACTTCTTTCCTTCCTTCACGTCCTCGTACTCAGCTTCCGCCGCTTGCTCACCAGTGGGGCCAGATCCAGAACTACCTCCTGACTGGTTCTTCATCAAAGCCTCTCCGATCTTCATCGACGCTGTCTGTGCTGCGCTGATCTTCGCTTTGATCTCCTCTACGTTCTCTGAATCTACTGAGCTCTTCAACTCTGCTAGCGCCGATTGGACGCCATCCACAACATCCTGTGGCAGCTTCTCCTTGTGCTCGTTCAAGCTTTTCTCCACCGAGTACATCGTCGTGTCCGCATCGTTCTTCGCGTCTATTAGCGCTTTCCTCTCCTGATCCTTCTGCGCATACAGCTCCGCATCCTTCACCATCTTCTGGATATCCGCCTCCGATAGACCGCCTGAAGACTGGATTGTGATCGCCTGCTCCTTTCCTGTCGCCTTGTCGCGCGCAGATACATTCACTATTCCGTTCGCATCGATGTCGAACGTCACCTCGATCTGAGGCATTCCCCGAGGGGCCGGAGGGATCCCCACCAAGTCAAATTGTCCCAGCACCTTGTTGTCCGCAGCCATCTCACGCTCGCCCTGCAACACCTTCACGCCCACCTGCGTCTGCCCGTCCGCTGCCGTCGAAAATACCTGACTCTTCTTCGTTGGTATCGTCGTATTCCGAGTGATCAAACGAGTGAACACCCCTCCCAACGTCTCAATACCCAATGACAGAGGTGTCACGTCCAATAGAAGGATATCCTTCACATCCCCTCGCAACACACCACCTTGGATGGCGGCTCCCATGGCCACGCACTCATCTGGGTTCACACCTTTGCTCGGCTCCTTGCTGAAGATACTGTTCACCACCTCCTGCACCTTTGGCATCCTTGTCATTCCACCCACCAACAGCACTTCATCCACGTCCTTCGCGGACAGACCTGCATCCTTCAGGCAGTCCTTGCAAGGCTGCTTCGTGCGCTCAATCAGGTGGTTCACCAATTGCTCATACTTCGACCTCGTTAGAGTCACATTCAAATGCTTAGCTCCAGAAGCATCAGCTGTAATGAAGGGCAAATTCACGTCGGTTTGAGGGGTGGATGACAGCTCCACCTTCGCCTTCTCAGCAGCCTCACGGAGCCGCTGAAGTGCCATACGATCTGAGGAAAGATCGATACCTTGCTCCTTCTTGAAGTCATCCACCAAGTGGTGAAGCAGAGCGTTATCGAAGTCCTCTCCACCCAAGAAGGTGTCTCCATTTGTTGCCTTCACCTGGTGTCATAAGTCCCATTCCCAATCTGTTAGCTCATTAAAGTTACAAGATCGGGATGATTATGCTGCTACAGGACAAGAAGCTCAAATTGAGCCTAAACTCATCTCACAGCATGCATGGGTTCATTACAGCGATACCTGTCACTCCTCACATTGTCCATTTACACGTGCTACACTTAAAAATTAAAGTTTTCCTGGTAAGATGAACTGCTGAAAGAAATGCAGAACACCCAGAAACAGTACACATTATAAACAATCATCGTACCTCGAACACACCGCCAGAAATCTCCAAAACGGAAATGTCGAATGTACCTCCTCCCAAATCGAACACTGCGACCAAACCTTCCTTGCGATCCATACCATACGACAATGACGCCGCAGTCGGCTCGTTGATGATTCTCAGTACATCCAACCCCGCAATTCGTCCAGCGTCTTTCGTCGCTTGCCTTTGCGCGTCATTGAAGTACGCTGGCACCGTGATCACTGCCTTTCCCACTGGCCTACCCAAGTACGATTCTGCAGTCTCCTTCATCTTGCCAAGGACGAAAGCTCCCACCTGACTCGGAGAATATTTCTGTCCCCCGGCTTCCACCCATGCATCCCCATTGGGGCCTCGGACGATCTTGTAAGGCACCATTTTAGCCTCCTTCTGAGTCTGAGGATCGTCAAATGGCCGTCCAATCAAGCGCTTCGTGCCGAAAAGGGTGTTCGTTGGATTAGTCACAGCTTGTCGCTTAGCCGGTGTGCCAACTAGCCTCTCGCCCTTAGGTGTAAACGCAACCACTGATGGTGTTGTGCGAGCACCCTCAGAATTTTCAATCACGCGCGGCATCTGCTACCCAATTCAACAATCAGCGCACGCATAGGAAACCAAGAAGAGCAATACTCAAATATTACAACCTACACATCCACAGCCAGAAAAAGTAAATTGAAACTCAGACACGAATCAACTACAGCATGTGAACATATACTCGCACACGATAACAAATCCCAAACTTGTAGAGAGAGAGAGAGAGAGAGAGAGAGAGAGAGAGAGAGTAAATAAGTAAACAAATAACCGTTAAAACACCACCCCGCAATATTCCCAGTCCCAAAACCAACCGAATAAACTAACCTTCCCCTCCATGACGGCCACGCACGAGTTCGTGGTACCCAAATCAATACCGATGACATCGCTGCCCGCTCCCTTGGAGCTGTACAAAGCCCTTCCCGTCAAGCGGTGCAGCATAGACGACCCATAAGAGGGAGCAACAGGGGAGGGGGCGGCGACAGCCTGCGCCGATCGCTGCTGCAGCAACGACAAGGTGCGACGCCACGGCACACGAGACGCCATTTCGCCTCAAACTCTTCCCACAGATCGTTGCAACAAAACCACGGCAGCTAACACCGCGCAGGCTGATGAACGAAACTCAACAAACAAAACCCAAACCACCAGCGTGGTCTCGAGCTGTGTCTCTCTGTCTTGCTCGCTCGCTCGATCGATAGATCAATGAAATGAGTCAGTGCAGGTGAGAAATTGCTGGGGGTTAGGGTTTTAGGGTGAGATTGGCCTTAGCGAACTGGCAAAGGCGAACGGCGACGATGGCTTCCTTTTAGTTCTAGAGCCTTCCAACCTCCAAGCGACGGGAGCGACTGTCCCACCGGCTTTTACTGGGAACTCTATGGAACTTCGCTTCGAACCTGACGCTCCCAGTCAGTTGATTTCCTTGGGGAACACGGAGTCTTGAGTTGGGGACGAAATTACCTGTGAAGTTAGAACGCTGCTCCTTTGGAAGGGAACGATGCGTTCACGTGTGCATGGGAACATGCTTCCGCACAATGCTGGTTCTAGTACTTTCTGTCCTTGTCTTTCATTTTCGGGTTGCAAAGATAGCAAAATTGGAAGGAACTTTCTTTAACCATAAGAATCTCCTCAGAGGATGTTAATACTTAGAAGCCCATTTTGAAATATCATTGGACATAAGCCTTACAAAGATCCTAGTTTGGTACAGAAAATAATAATAATAATAATAATAATAATTACAAAAAATTACAAAATAAAAAATCTTTGGAAGTCTAAATCTCTAGAGATAATATCAAGTAAGAATAAGTCATGAGATAAACCCAATCAGTATTTTATTTTATTTTTTACAACTCTAGATGTGTTAGCTAAGTCCTTAATACTAAATTTTTCTAAAAAACTTATGTGTATATATATATATATATATATATGTTTATTTTTATTATTATTATTATTTGTAATAATATATTTAGCTATTTTCTAACTCCTTCTTGAACTCTTGTAAAAATCAACTCTTTGAGGTGGACCAATCAGAAGTTTTACAAAAACACTACTATTCATCCCATGTAGAGGAAAAATTGCATTCCATTTTTTTATTCTTTTATTTATTTTTTTTCTCTTGTAGCCTTTTGATTGATTTTTCTTAATATAATGCCAACCAAGCCAGACTTCTTGACTTCAAGCAATTTCAAGCTCTGATTCCCTAATCATAAATATCCCTTTACCTCTTTGCAATGTTTATTATCCATGTACCATAAATATTTTAAATACTTTTTATAATAATAATTCTTAATATAACATTAGATAAACAAACATTATGTTATCATATTACACAGTTTTGTTATAAAAGATTCAAAATATATCATATATTATTGGTGAAATATATATATATATATATATATATATATATATATATATAAGTTATGATTTTATCATACTTATATATTTGTTAAATAACTTCTTTTTAATTTTTATAACGTTTTTTATTTTTTATTTTTTTGGTTTAAACCTCAAGCATTTTAAAAGGTTGCATTTTTAAGGATGCACCCATTATGGCACGTATAAAAATATTTTATTTTTAATGATCAATTTAAAATATAGTACATATTATTTAAATACATATAATAACTAAAATTAAATTATCCGTCTAAAAACATAATGTGTGTGTGTATATATATATATATATATATACAATTGAATCCATGAGAACTAAAAGTAATACTTTTGCTTGAATGAATCACTTAATTAAACAAACACAAGAATAAAACTAATAGAAATATGAAATAAAATAAACTAATGTGGGACGTAAATGTGTAGTTACTAGTGTCAAAATTGTAAATATTGTATGTTTTTGGCATTTAAAATACTTCAAATGGAATACAGTAAACATAACAAAAACTTTGAGTACAACTCAAAAAAATTAAAACTACTTGAGCTTTTAAATTAGTTTTAATTGCAATAAATCTATTTGATAAATTATTTAGTAATTACTATATATTGGTGTCATTTAGAAAAATGAACAATATAGATCTTTCTATACATATTTTTAACTATCTTATCAAACATCATTATCACAATGTTTTAGCTTAGAGAATTCTTGCTTTGCTTTAGAAGTAACATATTTAAATCAATCATAGATGTGTATTGAAGAACATTAACATATGGGTAGATGTTTGAATGGATTAACACAAGTGCAAAACAAACACTCCTTTATTTAATAAAATAAAATTTAAGTATTAGATGATAGAAAAAATATTTTATATAAAAAGTATTGAGTGAAAGTAAAATCATGTTGTTAAAATTGTCTGTAAAATTAATACAACTTCAATATTTATAAAATTATGAACTATTTTTTAAAGTACAATTTTAATATTTGATAGTTTGTCAATGTTTATTTTATTTTTATTTTTAAAAAAGAGCATTTAATCCTCTACAGGTTTCAACAAGTTGTACACATGTTCAAAAAAATTGATATGTGTTTCATAAAATAACATTCAGTCAATTTTGATTTGATGTGATGTTTATTAGTTTATTTTTATTTTTTTAATTTTTTAAAAATTGAAATTCATTGAAATTATTTTCTATAAATCTTGATAACTTATTTTTTTGGTAACATGTGAAAATAAATATAATATTTAAAGATATCACAAATTTTTTTTGTATTTTGTATTTTATTAAAATATATATATATATATATTTAGAGGATGAAGTACATTCCTTTAATTATGCTTAAATCCTTCATAACACTTATTGGTTGTGAAGTTTGAGTTGCCCTTGTGAGAAGAAGTTAAGAAGTTCAAGTTCTTCTATTGTAAAAAAGACAAGATTAGAGTCTTATTGCTCTTTTTTTACAAGGAAGGTAGAAGAACTTGTAAGCCCTCTTATTGTATCATACATTTGATGTTCTAGGTCCTTTAAGATAAGAAGCATAAGTTCTCATGCTTAAGTTAAACAATTTTATATGGAATGTTAGAAAAAAGAATTGATAACTTATAGTTGTCCAACTATAGTCCCTTAGCAATTAATCTCTCCTGTCTCTAAATCTTTTGCAACTATATTAACAATTATGAATTATTTGTTAATTAACCCCTGTAACAAAACAACATTTTTATAGAACATTACTCCAACCAAATAATATATTAATATTCATAAATAGTAAACACAAACCACAAATGAATAACCATTATTAGAAAGCAAAGTAATATCTTCGTCACTTTATTTATATATATATATATATTAAATGCCATTTGATTGGAATTATTAGGGTTCGGATTTGGACAACTCCAAACCCCAACGATGAACATTGTTTGCCCAAATCTTGAGCATCAGAATTTGAGCTGCCCACATTTGACAACACGTAGAAATGCCCTACAAATGCAACATTTTTTGGGACTGCCCTGCCTAAATGGCCCCACTACAAGACTTTCCTGGTGTGACCCAATTTTGTTGTGTCTTCATGAGTTTTCTGAAAGCCAGTCGCATGTGTTGCCCATGCTCCATCCCGAACGCCACCCCCTCTGAGCTCCACAATTTTGCAACGCTTCTTCGTCGAACGACGGTGACAATGACGGGATCGATAGGAATCGATGCATTCCTCGTCATGGTTGCGTGGATCGTCCAAGCCCAGACTCCACGAAGCAGTTGGACGCTTTCAAGAGAAACCTCCGCGGCATTCGAAGCCAGAGTATCTCGCAAGTGAATGTGAGAGTGAACGGAATTCCAGCTTAGAACAGTTTGCGCTACTGTTGTTTCAGAGTGGGTGAGAATGGTAACTTGAGGGTCGGAGTTTTAAGGGTGATGCGCAAGCTTGCGAGACAGAAACCCCGCACGAGCTTGCATTAGTCTGGAGAATTCTTGTGAGCATGTACTTGACGTAACGCGACGATAAGAGGTTAGCAACTAGATGATTGCTTGCTAAGAGACAGTATTGCGATGCAAGGCTTGTTAGCGGGAAGGGCAGGTGTTCTCCGAACCTCCATCCACTGTCCCCGTCTAGTGGACTCGGAGGTTCGACTGAGAGGTTTTGTTCTGGGCATTAATGAGTTTCTCTGGAACGCAGGTGAGGATTTTCCATGACTTAAACCCTAAATCCTGAGCCCTAATTCTCCTCTATATACTCTCTGAGTTTCCCGCATTGGTGATTTTTCAACCACTGCTCTCATCACTTTATTTTGAATTCTGCTAGGTGTATGCTTGGATTTGGCTTATTTCTTATTACGCCGCATGCAGGGAGGTGGTACCGTCATCACTTTGTAAAATACTACCAAGGGTAGAGTATTTTTTCAGTATTTGATCACTAGCGGATTGACTCTGTATGTCTCTTCCTTGGGGCTTAGATTTCACTACAGTTTCAACAGCGAAACAAACTCAGGCGGGATTTAGCGTTTTGAAGAAAGAAAAGCATTCATTGCGAGACGACCTTATTCTAGCTACCTCCCGGCAAAACGATGCAGGTAATTAAGCTAAGGCTATGGCTTGGAAAGTTCTTAAAAGAGAATTTGGCGCGTGAGATGGAATGAACTTGTAACAAACACTTCTTTGATCCCTTATTGAAACTTTCGGTCAATGAACTTCCTGAATGTGATATCATCTTTCAGGTCACAAGATTGACCTTGTAGGGGACAGTGCACGTAATTTTCTGGTGAAGCAGATTGCGAGAGATTCCGACACTCTCGTCAGGGCGGATCTAAAGAAGGTTTTGTTCAGCAACTTGTCAACTTGTCAGCTATTATCTTCAGTGAATTTGCACCTCGTCCGCAGTAGTTTCTAGCTGGGTGATGACAGCCCAGCTCTGCTGTTTTAGAGGATGAAGTACATTCCTTTCCAGATTCTCCCATCAGTATCATTTGATTCTTTCTTAAGGTTGTGAGCAGTGTCTGTTATTTCAGTTATTAAACTGTTTGGTTCTCCTTATGTCCGTGCACCCTTCTGGGCACTAAATGACATAAAAAATCAAAAAAGGTGAAAACAGATTATGGAAGTCGTTGAAAAACTCAACTGGTGGATAAAAGCATTGTTGGAAGGTCCTTTGGGGATGTGATGCGAGTTTAAGTATTTTTCAGGTTCTATTTTCCCGGAGGATTTTGAAGTGTGGAAATGAATTGCAGGAGTGTTCTAGGGCGTATGGAAAGCCTTCATTGTTGGTGGAAGCACATCGTAGTAGTTCGATGCACAGCCAATCACGAGTCCAGCTCTGCAAGTGGTATAATGTTTTCTTTTCCTATTACTCTAGTTGGATATATGAATGCGGTTCATCCCGATTTAGTATGTTACTAAGGAAAGGCAATGATAGCTTACCTCATATCAACGTCAAGAGGTTTTTTCTCTTTTTTCTTTTTCTTTTCTTTTCTTTTTATTTATTTATTTATTTTGAGTGGTTGGGCAATTCACATAGTGTATGCCGCTGGGGCTGAGACAAGTCTGTTTACAGTAGCTGACTGGAGACGTGCGGGTTTAACAGGTGGTTCAACACTAGTGGATTTAGATATTCAAATGGGAAACCAAGAGTTAACAAGCTATATTTTCATACTTACAAGGACGAGAAAATAATGATTGAAAAGGACGGGGCAGTGGATGTAGTTCAATACTTACAACAGCAAGGTGCACAAGTAAATTCCTCTGATTACATGAAAATGCTCAAAAGGTGTATAGAGGTTAAAGACTTGGTAGCAGGCAGGCAGGTACATCAGCATATTATCCAACATCGCACGGTGCCAGACCAGTATACAGTCAATGCACTAATAAACATGTACATACAGTGTGGAAGTATAGAAGAAGCTCGGCAAGTTTGGAAGAAGCTGAGCTATATGGAAAGGACTGTCCATTCCTGGAATGCCATGGTTGTAGGCTATATCCAATATGGCTACATTGAGAAGGCTTTAAAACTACTTCGTCAAATGCAGCAACATGGCCTTGCACCGGATAGAACTACTATCATGAGCTTCTTAAGTTCTTGCAAAAGCCCAGGCGCCTTGGAGTGGGGCAGAGAAATTCATTTCCAAGCCATGCAAGCTGGACTTCTGTTTGATGTCAAAGTGGCCAATTGTATACTCAATATGTATGCGAAGTGTGGCAGTATTGAGGAAGCACGGGAAGTTTTTGATAAGATGGAAAAAAAGTCTGTTGTTTCCTGGACCATCACAATTGGCGGTTATGCTGATTGTGGTCGTTCTGAGACTGCTTTTGAAATCTTCCAGAAAATGGAGCAAGAAGGCGTGGTTCCAAACCGGATTACGTACATAAGTGTACTGAATGCCTTCTCCAGTCCTGCAGCTTTGAAATGGGGCAAGGCAGTTCATTCTCGCATACTTAATGCGGGGCACGAATCTGACACAGCGGTTGGAACTGCTCTGGTGAAGATGTATGCCAAATGTGGGAGCTACAAGGATTGTCGCCAAGTTTTCGAAAAGTTAGTCAATCGGGATCTTATTGCCTGGAATACAATGATTGGAGGACTTGCAGAAGGTGGTTATTGGGAAGAGGCTTCTGAAGTGTATAACCAGATGCAGCGAGAAGGCGTTATGCCAAACAAAATTACATATGTGATTCTCCTAAACGCCTGTGTCAATTCCGCAGCTCTGCATTGGGGCAAGGAAATTCATTCTCGTGTAGCAAAAGCTGGCTTTACGTCCGATATTGGCGTTCAGAATGCCCTTATTAGCATGTATTCAAGATGCGGGAGCATCAAGGATGCACGACTTGTTTTTGATAAAATGGTTAGAAAAGACGTCATTTCATGGACTGCAATGATTGGGGGGCTTGCTAAGAGCGGATTTGGTGCAGAAGCCTTGACAGTATATCAAGAGATGCAACAAGCAGGCGTGGAACCCAACAGAGTGACCTATACGAGCATCTTGAATGCCTGTTCCAGTCCAGCGGCTCTGGAGTGGGGCAGGAGGATCCATCAACAAGTTGTGGAAGCTGGCCTAGCCACTGATGCACACGTGGGAAATACACTTGTGAACATGTATTCTATGTGTGGCAGTGTCAAGGATGCTCGCCAAGTGTTTGACAGGATGATCCAGCGAGATATTGTTGCATACAATGCTATGATTGGTGGATACGCCGCGCATAATCTTGGTAAAGAGGCCTTGAAATTGTTTGATAGGTTGCAAGAGGAAGGTCTGAAGCCTGACAAAGTTACCTACATAAATATGCTAAATGCTTGTGCAAACTCAGGATCGTTGGAATGGGCCAGGGAGATCCACACCCTAGTGCGGAAGGGTGGTTTCTTCTCAGATACCAGTGTGGGCAACGCCCTTGTTAGTACCTATGCCAAGTGTGGAAGCTTCAGCGATGCGTCAATAGTTTTTGAGAAAATGACCAAGCGAAATGTCATTTCATGGAATGCTATCATTGGTGGATCTGCACAGCATGGAAGAGGACAGGATGCCCTGCAACTATTCGAAAGGATGAAAATGGAAGGAGTCAAGCCAGACATCGTGACATTCGTCAGTCTCCTCTCAGCATGCAGCCATGCGGGTCTCTTGGAAGAAGGCCGCCGCTACTTCTGCTCCATGTCACAAGACTTCGCCATCATACCTACAATCGAGCATTACGGGTGCATGGTGGACCTTCTTGGCCGTGCAGGGCAACTAGATGAAGCAGAAGCGCTAATCAAGACTATGCCCTTCCAAGCAAACACTAGAATCTGGGGTGCTTTGCTTGGTGCCTGCAGGATCCATGGAAATGTACCAGTCGCCGAGCGCGCTGCAGAGAGCAGCCTGAAGCTCGACCTCGACAATGCTGTAGTGTATGTGGCTCTCTCCCACATGTATGCAGCAGCCGGTATGTGGGACTCTGCAGCTAAACTTAGAAAATTGATGGAGCAGAGGGGTGTAACGAAGGAGCCGGGGCGGAGTTGGATACAAGTTGGAGACAAGCTTCATTACTTCGTTGCGGAGGATAGGTCCCATCCACAGTCGGAGAAAATTTATGCTGAGCTAGACAGATTAACCCATGCGATGAAGATGAAAGGCTACGTTCCTGACACACGGTCTGTGATGCATGATGTGGACGAGGGAGAGAAGGAAAATGCTGTTTGCCATCATAGTGAGAGGTTGGCCATTGCCTATGGGTTGATCAGCACGCCCCCTGGCACACGAATTCATATCTTCAAGAACCTTCGCGTTTGTCCCGACTGTCATACTGCAACAAAGTTCATTAGTAAGATCGTCGACCGGGAGATCATCGCCAGGGATGTCAATCGTTTTCATCATTTCAAAGATGGAGTTTGCTCTTGTGGAGACTACTGGTAGGGATTCAACCCTCTTCAACTGAGATTCATTTTTGCACATGAAGACCATCAAGGCATTATATTTATTTATTATGGTATGTACAATATAGATCATCTTTGAGGTTTAGTTTAAACTACTGGCTGCACATACTCTCGTAAAAATGCCTCAGCTCACAGCTCTGCCACCCTCTGCAGTGAGTGAATTAAACTTACCCACTTTATTTGCAATGAGATTGAGTCTGCTATTTCTAGCATACAGGGTAGGCATGCCCATTGTATTCTGATGAATTTCACAAGGTGAATTCCGTCCAGTGATTACATTGATCACATCTAGGCAGTGTAAACTGTTGAGTTTATGAACCGATTCAACAGATATGCCCCAAATATAAACACAAATTGGTGCATGATGCTCAGTACACGAATTCATTTCGTCCGTTGTTAGAGGTGATCATTTTGTCCAGTACATGGATTTTACTGGTCCTAAGTTTACAATCTTTCTTCATGCATTGTGTGATTGCAAAGAAATCATCAGGTCTTTCTTTTTTGTCTCTTTCTTTTCGCAAAACGTATTGTCTTCAACATACTGTCCTATCAGCCTTTCCTGGTCAATTAGGCAGAAGTGTGATGTTGTCTGACGGATATTTGGAATCTCGGAATCATTCTCAAGTACACTGAGTTCGTTCATTTTGTAGTGTGGATCTGTAAAAAGGCTACTAGTTATGTGCTGTATAACATATGTAACCATCTGGATAAATGCACACGTGGACTCCACGTAATCTCAAGATTTTCATAATTATCTCACCAACACAAAAGTATTTTTCTAATGAAGAACTGAATTCTCAGTATTCAAAACTTGCAATGGGATGTGGGTTTGTGGGATTCACCTTTCATGACTCCTTTGATTCCCGATTTACATTTAGTGGCATCATGTGGCGTGAAATTCCGAAAGATAAAATATAGAGCAAAAGAAACTTCAAATGCTCATTGCAAACCAATAGTTGAGGATTAAAAACAATTCAGTTTCCGAAAAAAAAATTCTTGAAGTTACTTCAAGCTACGAGATTGAGTAGTGATTTATTTTATTAAAAAAAGACTTGGGTTAAAATTATGCTTCCTTGTGAAACAAAACTTCAGAATTTTGTTGAAATAAGAATTTCAGATACGTATAGGCTGCGGATCTAAAAAATATGTTTGAGCGACCTAGACAATCACAATCGAATTTGATGAGAGTTTGCCTGAAACTAGAGGTTTGGAAAATTCAACAGAGGTACAGAAATTATTTTAGTTTGTGGGGGAGGGGGAAATCTTGTTATTCGTCTGTTCCTTGATGACTGTTGAACCGTGATCATGCACAAGTTCTGGACACTAGCACAACCAAGAGCCTGTACGAGGTGACAACACGACGCCTATATTTGGTTAGATCCAAATCTATATTTCACAAACAAATCGGCAGAGGAGGAACTGAATAAACTAGAAATATCATTTTACGAGGTGAACTCAACACATATTAGCAACTGAACCTGGACATTGTAAGGAATGTTAAAATACACAACACTTCAGGCGTAAAATTGATTCAGTAACTTTAAAAGTTTTCATTGAATTGTCCTAAGGTCTGCAGAGAGATGTGGTAAAATAAAACATGATTATACTACACCGCATATCAAATGTCACACCAGCCGCATGATGGTCGAGCCTCTGCCTACGTCTGCTACTGTTATACAAATCGTGTGGAAAAAAACTTTCCGATCAGAAATTGTAAAATATAGATTCTCCAGATGCCACCTTCTTCGCAACTTTCCTTAAGTGGAAACAGAATCACCAAACTCCACAGTACCTCCACAACTCGGTATCTGAAGCTCTCCATAGGATGGCCATATCTTCAATGTACGACCACAATGTATCTGAAGATAGTATCACAACGCATGACAAAACTAGAGACCTTCCCACGACCTCGACCGCAGCATGCGTTTCATAAACTCATAGGTCATAAACACAATGCCAACACTGGGAATGACCTTATAATACTCCGGAAGGATCCCCCGGTAGAGACCAAAAAGCCCTTCTTTCGCAATAATTTCCTTAAATGTTCCAGCAAGCCCATGATTGTAAATCTTGGCCTTCCCTCCCGCTCCTTCTAATTGCATTCGTCTCCTTACCAGATCAATGGGAAAGGTTGCTGTACAAATCAGAAATCCAACAATGAACTTCACAAATCGAACCAAATAACCCCAATAAAAATACTGTTGAACATGGTGAACAGAAGATAAACTAGAGCTGGTTCGGAAAAGCTAGATAAGAAACCAGGGTCCTCTATCTTCGACCATACCTGTTGATGAACATATTCCAGCAAAACTACCACAAGCGAGACTAACTAAAGCTGGTGACATGTCAGGCCTGCAGTCATCAACATGTTGATTTCATTAGTAAATCTCACACCGGACTAAAGTCTATACTGTTATCTGTGCCTTTTTGCAGTTCTCAGATTATATGGAGGAAGGCTATCCAACGAGGAAGATTCATACCTTACACAAAACTGCTCCAACATTCCATTCGTGTCCTTTACTATGTGTAAACCACCGTTTAACTTAAGTAAGAAATATAAAAAAATCAATTGTGTTAAACCATACCTTTCGGCCACCCACATTGACTTCAAAGTTTCATAAACGCAAAAATTGATGGCTATGTTTGGGCCAACACCCTGTTCCACAAAGAGATAAAACTGTAAGAAACAAAATAGTTACAACCATTTCATAGGCTTCATGAGTTTTAGCTCAGAGGATAGAGTAAACTATCAACCATGCATTAAAAGCTAATTCAGAGAATGCACATCATGGTCCTAACTTCGTGTCCCCTGTAATGGGGAATGAGTATTACGGGCATAAAATCATAGGTGGAACAAGTTAGGTCAAATATAAACATTCCCAGAGAACGAACATCTAAAGACGTATCAAATGAAATCCGAAATTCCGAGTAGATATCACTCAGTCTGCTTACAATCAAAACTTGACCTAAAAAGCCCCGGTCCCTTCCTGCAGTCATTTTTAAACTACGACATCTGAAAGAACATTATTACAGCCCCTTATCGTAAATCCGCCACAAACGCACAGGATGGGCCAACCCTAAACGATACATGAGTAACACTAAATTGCTGTTACTCACCTGACTTGGCAAATGGGCAAGCGTCGGTTGGGCATCACTGAAACCCCATCCAATACAATTTAATAACTTCACAACTCTTCAGCAATGCCCGACCGACCCCATACCTGCATGTTATGTGTTCCCGCAGTTCCCATCAGCCAGGCTTCTATTGAAGGTGTTCCAATTATAACTTAACGATGCCCATTCACAGGAGTGACTACCCACATTCACGACTTACTCCACTCAAGAAGGGAAGAGGAAGGGGACTTCCGAGGGCCAACTTTCAATCTACTACAATATTCCATCATCTTTTTCATACGACAGCTGGCACCTGGAGGCATCCAAAGAAGAGTTATTACCATCCTCTCCTTAATCGCCTACGGTGTTACATACACATCGCTGTGGAGTGACTGATATAATCGGTACTTTTACACTGTGGTGAGTCCTGTCAGTAGACCGAACTTAAGTGAATCAATTGGCTCCTGAATAGTGCAATCTTTTCACTGAAAAACACCACAAGAAAATAGCTAGAACGGAGTCGAGATCCACAGCGCTCGCAAGGGTCCAGTTACTATACCATTAGTGTGGCACCCATGCCTTTGTACAGCCCCCGAAAGCCCTCATCCTTAGTAATGGTTATAAGAGCGTGAGTAATGCCTTTGTAATACATGTCTTTGGTCTGCAAGATGCATGAAAAAGGAAAAGAATTCAATCAGATACAAGCGTGTCTCAAATCCAGGTGCACAAACTCATAGAAATACGTACGTTTTAATCCACAAATAATGATACCCATATGAGTTATGTGACCAAAACTATGTAGTGAGAACAGCGAATATCTAATCAAACTACGAAGATTTGAATAAACCTTGAGACAGGAAGAAGTAGAGAAGAATAAAAATAAAAATAAAAAAGCATACCATTAATGAAGTATATAAAGATTCACCTGTGCAGCCAAGCGCGTGCGAACCAAATCCAGCGGGTATGTCAACGACGCCGCTGTAATGCCAGCACCTCCGCCAGCTAACAATCTTGTACCCATTCCAACCCCGAGACTTTCCTGATCGCCGTCAATGCCCATTATCCTCCTCAAGTGCTGCCAACAAAAGGGGCGTGTCACTAGGTTAGCAGACAAATTTCTGATGCATGCGGAAATAGGAAGGATATTGTAAAAACAAAGATACCAACACGACTACTGAACTCAGCTGCAAACCTTGTTCCGCACATTCGTGAGGCAATTCATAGAACCCTCCCTGTATCGCACCAGAATTACAATCTTTCTAATATTTTCACTAATTTTCCCTGTCGAAATTGCAAAAAAACAAAAAACAAAAAAAAAAAAAACGCATACCATCTTGTACTGTTCGTAAGCGAAAAAGTTTATAGATGAATAAGGTAGTCGGTGGACTATTGTAACACCATTGCCTTTCCAAAATGCCCTAAAACCCTCTTCCCGAAAGATTCGGGTGGCTTCTCTCAGGATACTCGGGCTGCTCAAAACAGCATCAGATACTCGCATACCTTGAACCTACAACATCAACAAAGCAATCAAAACGAAAGTAACTAAGTGAACATGCAAGGAGCAAAAATACATACACAAATCTAAATCCAAATCCAAATCCCATGAAATCCTCATTTCCACAACGGGCAGGACCTCGGGCAAAAAACATGATGTATTCCATGCATTCACACAAGCATTGACATTCTATGTCATTCGACGAAGATGAAAATTACATTTTTGATCACCTCCAATCCACCGAACAGAAGACATACGTCACCAAATCAACATGAAAGGACCTTGAACCATGAAAAATTATCACTCTAGCGCATTAAAGCACCATCCACCTCATTCCAGATAAATAAGGCATCGATTTTAATATCTTGACATAAAGAACACCAGACCTGAAAAAGAATCGTGAGTCGAGCGAGTGGGGCAGTGCATGTTTTGCTGAAAGCCCCTGCGATACCCCCAGCAAGGAGCTGCGAGGTCGTGCTGATCTGGGATGGGGCTCGCACCACCACCGGCCTAACTTGGCCTTCCTCAATCGCTTCCGGGGTACTGGCCTCATTGCTGCTACTAGGTCTGTCATCAATTGCGCGTGGCAGTGCTATGTGCGCTCCACCCACCACACCAGCTATTTGAGCCTCACCCGCATGTGGTTGCATTGATCTTAATTTTCCGTCACCAGTTGTACATTTGTGTACAGTTGATGGGATTAAGCAATCTAATTAATCCTCCGCCAGAATACAAGCCCAATATGCTCTTTAAACTGCGAGTGAAATACACCTACTTCACTGCAAATATTCTTGCGCTTCTCAAAGGAGCTCCGGGATCCCTCGATTCAATCCAAGTTAGAGTCAAGGGATCTGACTCCGACAAATTAACGCTTCGAAAAGGATTTCTGTTGCACAACACCGATCTGAGGCAGTCCACGTCTATTGAAATTGACCACTATCTCTCATCATTGCACTGTGGGTGACTCGAGTACTTCTCAACTCTCCTCGTCCCGGTCAGCACCTACGCTGATGCTTTTACAAAGCCGTCCTACATCTGCATGTCCAAAACCAAAACCGAGATAAATTTGGTTAATATATAGAACTCGCTAGTGGTAATTTGATGAAACATTTCTCAAACCATTCGCTGATCTGAGCTTCTCAGCTGCTAAAACTTAAACCTCTCAATGATTGACTAAAGTTTTCATGCAAGAGCACGAGTCATATAATTCTGCCATCAAACAACTGAGTCTGGATACTTCACATATCCAATCACCATCAGTACAATGACTCCACTTAAACCAATGCAAATACACACCCTCCGACATTGTATGTTCATAGCTTTCATGTGAATCTTCCTTAAACGAGAGTAAGGGGGACAGATAAAAATCGCGAAAACCTCTTCCAGATTAGGTATTAAATTCCCCTCCATGTCCGACTGAACATCCTTCGCAAAGAAGCGAAAAACCCTAGTTGGTGTCTCGATCGTGCATCAAGAGTACGACCTCGTGGATGAATCTCGCCGCACACTTCCACACCTCCGCAAAAATCTCGTTGTAACAAACCTCACAAAACAGGCAACCTCAAACCTGAAAACTGCAGCGATCAAAGGAACGGGATTACAGGACAGGTGCAATCTTTCAGCTACCACATTCGCAGCTACAATCCCACCTCCACAAAACCATGGACCAAAGACGAAAACAGAATACTAAACCTTCAACCGCGTAATGTCACAGTAGCAACCTACAAAGCAAATCGAGACAATCAAATCTAAAAACTCTTTGACGATCCTAAATCTAGTACCAACGCACCCCTCTGTGCACACAATACGTAAACAAAGAAATAACTCTGCAGGAAATGGTCACTCACAGCGTCGAAACCTCATCTGATACACAAATCCGTCCACAATAACGACGAAACCTGAGAAGCATACAACCTGATAGTAGATAGATAGAACCAAACGCCGGGAAGAAAAACATGAGTCCGAGCTAGAACACCGCATCCGCAGAAGAATGAGAAGACGAGGCAACACCCACACACACACACACAGGGTTTCCAACAGGGTCGAGACCTGAAACTCGAAAGCCTAGACAAAACGAAGGTGACCCGCCCGACACTAGCACGCAAAAAAATTGCGAAGGAACGAAGAGAGCTGGTGGTTTAGGGTTTGCAAACAAACCCTTTAGACTGGGCTCCCACGTTACGCCACCGCCACCATCCGGTACATCAATTGGGTTACTGATGAGCGCTTCAACCTGGAGAGCGGAGAGAATTCTAGAGATTGAAGCGCACAGACTCTGCGTCGCCCATGACGATGGCTATGGCCGTCGTTTCCATCGCGCGAAGTGGGAGAGACGGAGGCGGAGGCGGTCGCCGACCGACCTGCCTCCCGACCGCATCTCAGCATCTTCTTCCGATGATCCCCCTGATTCCCGCTCGCTCCTTCTCCGGGTCCCTGAGCACATGTTCTGATGGTCTGGATTCCTATTCTTGTTTTTATTGATTGAAAGAGGTGTACGCCCGCTGTACACATAACCTGAAACCTAATGACCAAGTAGTATCGTAATGAGCAAATTCGGAACATGCTTTATATCTACCTATCGTGAAGAAATTCGTGGTGGAGAGACTCCGAAAACTTTGTTCCACAAGATTTCCACCATTTTAATTTTTAATTTTGAAAAATTGAGAATAACAGTATTTTAATGAAGGATACATTTCAAACAATAATACATTTTCTGGAATTTTTGGCATATATATATATATACACGTGTGTGCATGTGTGTGTATATATATGTATATTTATATTTTTAAAAATTGTTACTCATATCAATACAGATAAACTTTCTACCTGTATTATTGTTTTACCATTTTTAATTTTAATTTTTTTTGTTTTTTATTTTAAATTGTAGTTTTTATATGTTAAATTAGACAGGTCGTGGATCTTTTGGTCTATAACAGAAACCAAAAATAAATTGAATGAAAAAGAAAGGTCGAAGGAAGAAAAGTAAAATCTCCTTCCGAAAATTTGTAATTTATACATGGTTTTTAGAACAAATGTATCCTGTTTATTTTTTTATATGTAAGGTAAGTTTTTAGTTTTTGAAAGGCAATTCCTATAGTGGATGCTCATATAAAAAACATAGTGTCAAAGTATTCTGATTTTCACATACGTATTTTTAGTATACTGTTTGAATTACTGTATGATCTATTATCTATTTGTACTGATTATTTTTATAGATTGACAAAAATAGATATATAGATTAACTAAAATAGATTTTCAATCAATTATCTAAATTTATAATTTTAAAAAAATCTCCCTATTACTTGTTCTATAGAATATGAATAATAATATTTAAACATATCTACATAGGATTATTATAATATTGACATGTTAATTAATCTTTTTAAAATATATTTATATAAAATATATTTTATAAATTAAAATGGTCTTTAATTCTAAAGTCAACTATATCTCATTTTATAATATATATATATATATATATATATATATATCAAATATGAAAAATCATGAATTAAATAAAAATAAATAAATCATTTTATTATTAAACTTAAATTAAATTATTATTAGTAAAATACAAAGAAATTATTAATAATTTTTAGGTCTTAAATAGGTGTCATGATGTTGTATAATAATACAACCATTACTTAAAAAAGAAAGGAAATATTTTATTATAGAAGCGCTTAAAAGAAAATATTTAGGTAAATTATCTTAGAAATATAGATAATAGAAGGTTTGATTAGATAAGAATGGCAAAAAAGAGAATACTTTATAAAGGCATACATGGACCAAATAAAAGTGAATAAGATAAATAATTAATATATGCATCATTAGGAAGAAGTTAAGAAAATATTTTAGCAAAAATTACCTCAAAATATCAAGAATTGATACCTAAAAAAGATTTGTTGTGAACTAAAGTCGAAATCAAATCCCAAGGCACAAAACCACATTTCTACAATAACTTTGGAATTTTTTGGTTTATTAAAGAGTGGGATTTGATAGTAGATTTTTAAGAAGATTTTGGAGAGTTGATTTTATGTAATTTGAAGGCATATTAAGGTTTTGAAGGCTATTCAAAGTAAAAGATGTATTTAGTAGATTTGGATTTTAAAAATTAAAAATCAGTTCATAATTTTGAGGATTTTGTGAGTGTTGTAGTATATTTACAGGTAAAATTTTGTTAATCTATCATTGTATTTTTTTTAATGTATTTTTAAAATTTAATGTTAATAAAATGGTTAGATTGATGGTTATGAGAGTTTTTGTGGATTATGGTTTTGAATAATTAAAATTTAGGATCAATGAGGATTTTTGCAATTTGGACTTAGAATTCTAAACACCAAACAATTTTTCAAGAAATAGAAAAGCTTAGGAAGAAGAAATTTCTATTGGAATATCAACATCCAAATTGGAAAAAAAATGATGGTCAATATCTGAGTGATTTAGGAGCTTTTTCTTTTGAATTAGTGAGTCGATTTTTCTCAAAATTTTTGTGCTTGTTAATTCTTTGTAGATTGAAATGTGAATAAATTTTTAATTAAGATCAACGATTAAGTTAATATTTATTGAGGTTTTAAAATAGTTATAATAATTGATTAAGATTAATTTAAGATTATCTTAGAATTGTTTAGGATTTGGTTCGGATTTAGAATTTGATTAGAATTTGATTAAGATTTGATTAGTATTTGATTAGGATTTAGGATTTGATTAAGATTTAATTAGGATTTAAGATTTGATTAGAATTTAATTAAAATTTGATTAGGACTTAAGATTTGATTAGAATTTAATTAGAATTTGATTAATATTTGATTTAATATTTAATTAAGATCTAATTAAAATTTGATTAGGATTTTGTTCGGATTTAGAATTTGATTAGGATTATAATAAAATTTCATTAAGATTTGATCAAGATTTTAAGGATTTGATTAAGATTTTATTATGATTTAATTAGAATTTAATTAGGACCAAATTAAGATTTGATTAGAATTTATTTAGGATTTTTATTTTTGATATTTAAAAAAAAAATTATTATTTAGAATTTCTTTATTATATTTTTGAAATTGATTTATGATACTTTTATGTTTTTTTTTTGTAATTTCTTATAAATTTCTTTTAGATTGATTAAAGTTTAATTAAGATTTTAAAGAATTATTTAAAATTTATTTAAGATTCTATTAGACTAGGTAGAGTCTTCTTGTTGTATTTTTTATTTATCTTCAAAAACTAGGTATTTGATGCATTCTCAAGTAAGAATTCACATTATATGATAATAGACATACATATTTATGTAAATAAGAAATATCAGGTAGAAGATAAATGTAAGTAGATTTTATATTATTTTTTAGTAAAGCTTCTAAGAAGTTTTATAGATGCATATTTGACTTTATACATATTTATTGTTGATTGATAGGCAAGAAACTTGGCTAATAAGTTAGCTATGTGTTGCACATGTAGATAGCTTGTGATACAAGTTAATAATATAGCATGCATATAAAAAAATTGCTTTGCAAGTTAAGACATGTATCTTGCAAATTGAACATGTATTAGAGGTCCTACATAGCTCTTAGTTAGATAGTATATATGGAGGAAAGAGTAAAGCCTTCTTCACTCTTTTCAATGCCTTTCTAATCTTTAGTCTTGTTTTAAGACTTTTAAGTCTTTTTGTCTTTAGCAATAGCTATTTTAGTTTAATATTATACTATCCTTGAGTAATATTTTAGTTTCTTTGAATGATACAAGAATTTATTGATCTTTTAGTTCTTTAAAATTCATATCATTAATAATTTGACAAAAGTGCTAACTTGATGTTTTTGTTTTGTTTTAAAAGAGAAGGAATTATTCCACACTATTATTAAATTTTGTATGTTGAAGACTATCCACTTTTAAATTAATATTGTAGCTTTTTAAATGTTTATTATTTTCTTTAAAGAGAATAGATTATTCTTCTTTATAGAAATTTTAATTTGGTATTAGAAATTATAGATTATCTTCTTCTAATTTGACTTATGAATTTATTTAAATTATTTATAGAAGAAAAAATTATGGATAATATTCATAATAGAAGTAAAAATAGATTTATAACTATTACAAATCTTCATGAGCTTGTTAACACTCTTTAGGTCAAAATTTCATATATTTTTAACATGAGCTATAGAAACACTATTTCTGTGCCTATAAAAGAAATCAACAACAAAGATTAAATTTTACAATAAGACATTTTTTAATTGAAAGAGAAAAATAGTTTAAATTCACAATAAAATTTGAGAAGCTTAGTTTCTATAAGTATAAGAGAGGCAAAGATAAGTCTGTCAAAAAAATTTGATGGAATAAAATCAAAGTTTCAAAGATTTTCACAACAAGTAAAGATCTTTCTAAGATTACATCTTTTCTAATATTTTAATGGATTTACTTAAGTTGGATTCATAAGTATACTTATATTTGGAAGATCTCTCTCTTAGTTTGCATCTTTGATAAAAAAATGATTCACAACTTCTTTATGATCTTAGTTCATTTTTAGAAGTTTTTACAACCACATTTGAAAAAATTAATTGAAAAAAGATAGCAGAGACCAAACTTCTATCTTTATAACAATAATTACATTCAATTATTATATATCTTATAAAATTCCAAAATTCTTTTTGTAACATAGATTGGAATGACAAAGCTCTTATCAATAGATCTCTATATAGATTGAAATACAATGTCAAAGATTTATTATTGAGAATGTTGAGAATAGACTCATTGAAGCAATTTATTACTCAAGCCATTACATGCAACAATTGATTCTTTGAAAGATGCCAAGAACAAAGGTTTGATTGGAGAAGTACAAGTCAAGTCACGACAATAACTTCTAAGTTTGGAGAAGCTAATTCATCAAGGCTAGAACCTATACAAATTGACACAATACATTTCAAATCTCTTATTAAGCAAGAAAAGATTTGATGTTATCAAAAATGATTGTACTTATACTATAGAGAACTTAAGCATACTATTCAACATTTTTCAAAGAAGTAATGTAATCACAAAATGAAGAGCATAATTACTAAAAAAGATGATGTATCAAAAAATATATTTTTTCAATTATAATAAGGACTGTGTGATTGGAATCTTACATATCATCTAATAAAGATTATATTCTTTTTTCAAATCCCTCA